TCTTCCGATTGTGAAATGCTAGGGGCTGGGGCTTGGTGCCAGGAGAAGTCTTGCACAGCTATGTGAGTGGGGAAAGCATGACCCACGGGTTTCTAAAACCAACCCAACAAGCTGCTTACAGCACCAGGAGGGCCTTGGAAGGTGGCATCCCTTGATGCCCAGGATGCTGGCTGTTCACACATCAGCTAACCCTCCAAATAAAACAGTGAGTGATCAGTTACTACAGGTAAGACATTTGATAGATAAGACCCACCACCTGACCCCCACCTCATTCCAGACCTCCACCTAATCCCTGACCCTCCCCAATCTAGTCTTGACCCCACTATATACATAACCCTAAAATCCCTGCTCCTAAATCCCTCAACCAAAAGGCCCCTCTCCTGCCAGCTAAATACTCAAGCCCTGGGGACCAGCCCCTAGAACCCAGGTTCATTTTTGCTAAAACCCATTCGCCGCGGAGTTTCATAACTCTGCATGCCACTGGTCATCAACATCAGCTCCTGAAACCCCAGACACGGTCCTCCTTTTTTCCTTTCAGTTCTCCCTGAAATATGACCTGGTAGCAAGGGCAAAGGCAGGACATGGAGGTGGCATAGCTTCATGGTTAGCACGGGCTCTGGTGTATTAGCTGAAGTTGGGTTTGAATCCCAGCATTGTCACTTTCTAGCTCCATGGCTTTGGTAAAAATTGCTAAGCCTTCTTGAACTTCATTTTCCTCTTGGTTAAAACAAAGGCAAGAACACCTGTCTTGGGGCCCCTGTGGGGCACTTGGTATGTGAGGCAAAGTTTCTGGACTGACTCCTCACACCACAAACTGTAGCTATGCTGTTACCATCCCATTTTAAGAGACGAGAAGTCAGGCACAGGATAGCTACTTGCCAATGGCAAGGCCAGGTTGTTTGAGTCCTAGTCCAGCCTAACAGGCTATTAAAGGGAAAGCAATGGAGGAAATATAACCTAACTGAAGACTCCAGGGCTTCTCAATGCCTGCTCTTTAAGCTCCTGTCAGAGATGAAGCCAGGATGCCAATCTTGGGCCCATCATTGACTTGGCCCTGCATTGCTAGCCAGGGACATCACTCCAGAGCCTTGGGGCCACTCTGATTGAGAGAGGAGGTTTTGGCCCAGACCAGACACACTGGGGGGCAGGATTTTGGCAGGAGCAAGGAGAAGGCCTTCTTCCCTTCCCCACATAAATATATATCTTCTACCCTCCTGTGTTGCTGGTGTGGGGTAGGGTGGCACAGCCAGACTGGAGAGCAGATAGGCAATACTTATCAAATTAGATCAACACATACCCTGTGACCCAGCAACCCAAAATGAATTCTCACAGAGGCCCATAATGGCCTTTCTCCTCAAAGTGTGGTCCCAGGGCTAGCAGTATAGGCATCACCTGTAAACTGGCTACAAATGTAGTCTCAGGCCTCGCCCCAGGTGTGATGAATCAGAACCTGCATTTTAACAAGACTCCCAAGGGATACCTTTGCACACTGTGAGAAGCACTGCAGGTGAGGGGATATGTTGAGGGGATACGTCTGAGAATGATGATTGCACTCACTGGTGGTGGCAGGAAATGGAAAATGTGAAACATGGTGGATGAGCACTGTGGAGAGGAGGCAGCAGTTAGAAAGGGTGGAAGCTATATGGATTGATCTTGAAATCCTAGCGTTGAGTGAAAAGAAGCTGAATGAAAAATAATGCAATTTTTTTCACACAAACTTAAAATGCATGCCAACAAAACCAGACACTTTCTTCTTCCTCTTTTTTTTTTTTTTTTTTTTTA